TAAAAAAAATTTTCTGAGGGTGCAAAATTTTGCGAACACTACACGGTCGAGGGGCTCGGAAACTAGGCAGACTCTGAACTCGACATGATCAATATCCGCTGCATTTAATGGGTTATCAAGTCAATCTCTTATGCTACTGTGTATCAATTAAGTGGCGATCTCTGTAAGAGTGGTCCAAGGCCCTTCATATCGGAGAAAAGTTTTGCCTCAAACTTTGCCCATTAAATTATCTTTGGTAGTAAGTAAATAAAACCACGTCGGTTTCTGGAAATACGTTCAAAAAGTTTTTTGAGAGCTCTCAATAGTCAGAGCTGCAAAAAGCCCTTTTTTGACCTCTTGCGACATCAAGAATTTCAAAAGTTGACAAGCTTGCTCCTCGTAACACACCGCATGCAGCAAGAAATCGTTTGTGTTCCTAAATTTTGTGATATATAAGGGGTTAAGAAGGCATTCAATTTTGATATGTGTTCAGTCAGAGGTTAGCCATAATTTATTTTAAAACACTCGTTAGCCGATTTTTTTTAAATTGGTCAAAAGTACTCTTCTTTCTTGGGTGATATTTCTCAAGTCCAGACCAGACCATAGAAAACTGCGGTAGATTTCTTCTAATAAGATGTTCGAAATTATAGAAATGTAAGAAAATCTTTCACTTATTCATTTTCTCCGTCTTAGTGACTTCAAACTTTTGGTGATTAAGCAAATTTACAGTAGAATTATACATAAATCTTAGATTTTAACCATTTTAAAAAATAAAAGATGGTAGGGTAGAGCATTAAGAATACACAAATTGATTTTCTAAACATTTTAAACGGCTAAATTCTGACAAATGATTCTGTATGGTGACGAAAAAGGTGAACAAAACGTATCCAGTATCATATTGATTAGCGTTCGGTCAACGTGTTGATGAGAAACTTTTTCAAAAAATTGGTTTGTGTTCTTTCACATTTGAGTTTAGAGGGTTTAAGCTATTCAAACCTGTGTGAGCAAAAAATCACGTCATCGCTGGGTCTTCTTTTAGACGGGAAAGTACACAACATTTTACATACATTCTTACAGAACACATACCCATCTGGGGCTTTTCAGTGAACAAATTGGATTACAAAACTAAAATACATACAATTCAATACGAATTATATATCTTTAAATAAAATTGGGTCAGTTTTTAAAAATTCATTCAAAAGGTGATTTTTAGACCTCTCTTAAAGGAAACGGGACTCTTTAATTTGAGGCTTGGATCTAACTTGTTCCAGATAGATACGCTTTTATAATAAAACGTTTTCTGTCCTGTTTTAGTTTTAAAAAGAGGAATGTTTAGTCGTTGAAAGTTTCTAGTTATACTTTCAGATACGCCTCTTGTTATATACATACATGTTAAGTATTCCGGGGCTTGATCCGTCATACTTTATATGTTAGTAGCATCTCGGCAATACAGTTGTGTTTTTACAGGGAGCCAAAGTAAGTTTTTTAATACAAGAGAGATATGGTTATACTTCTTTACGTTGCAGAGAGTTCACGCGGCAAAGTTTTGAACGTATAGTGCAATTTACGAATATTACAGGCTGAGGTGGATGATCATACTGATGAACAGTAATATATAGTTTACTGAAAACAAGCGCATTTATTATGATTTTAAGCAGTTATTTATCGAAAACGAATCTAATACGGCTTATTTGAGATAATTTCGACATGCAAGACGATAAAAATATCGAAAGATAGCGTGGGATCAGAAATTACTCAAAGGTCTCTGACTAATTGAGCCGGGTTAATGTCTTTTTCCTAATGGCGATAATTTAAAGTCCAGTAGTTTCGAAGACATTCCTCGGCTGCCAAAAACCATTAGTTTCGTCATATCTGGATTAAGCATTAAACAAATGTCGAAACACCAATTGCGAATCCGTTGTAAGTCGGAATTAAGACTTTGAGTGATCCAAAGAATGTTCTTGGTAAAAGACAACAGGAGTTTAGTCATCCACGTAGCAGTTGAACAATTTTAACAAACATTTGATAGATCGTTTTACATAAATACTGAAAAGTAATGTTCTAAGGACACTTCCCTGCGGTACGCCACTGCCTACTGGTAATTTATCAGATAAAACAGAGTTTATACGGACTGCCTGGTATCTCCGAGAAAGATAGCTTTCGAACCATTGAAGTGCAGAGGGTGATAGACCAATGTTCTTCAGTTTTTCTTTTGTGTAATTACATGATTTATATTGTCAAAAGATTTGCTCATATCAAGATATACGACCGCAGTAATTTTCATCCGGTCGATAGCGTGGAGAAAAGAATCAGTAGTAGAAATTAGCGATGTTTCGGTAGAGTGCCATTTTTGTTGCCGCTTTGTTTCACTGATATTCTCTAGTTGGATGTTAGATACGGAGTCAGCTGGTTCAATACTACTCTTTCGCATACCTTAGAGAGTATTGGCAGTAGTAAAATTGGTCTGTAATTACTGGCTTCTTCGTGATCTCCGTTCTTAAGAATTGGACAGACTTCGGCAATTTTCTAAGAAGTTGGAAAACTCTTGCTTGTTAGAGAAGCGTTAATAATGGAAGTAATACTAGGGGCAATAATCGGCCAACTCTCTTTGATTAAGCGAGGTGATACCTTATCAATTCCTGGGACTCTCTTGTTAGGTATTAGGTTAACAATACCTTTAACTTAAGAACATTCCACGGTGTTAAAAGAAGACTGGTCTGCGACTGCATAATTTTTCGGAGTACATGGATCTTGCGCGGGCACATAATTGAATTTTCTTGCAAGTTGAGTCTTTTTTAACGTAGATTTCCCAACCGAGCACAAAAACTGGTTGAATTCATTTGCATCTGTTTGATCGTCTTTCGTAAAACTCTCAATATTCGCAGGCTTTTTTAGAATCACGAACTGATTGTTTTCCAGATATTTCCAACATCGGTAGGGTTTTGTTTTACAGACGATATTTTCTCCTATAAACTGTTCTCGCGCGGCATCAAGAATAACACCAGAGCTAAGGCAAGAGGTAAATGGAGATAAAGAGTGCGATTTTCCACCGTGGCTTACATATGTCCGCCATGTTGTGAGGTGTGCAGAATTAAAAACAATTGAATTACAATGGTCTGGTCTGGACTTGAGAAATGCCAAATTTTCTTTATCGTATTTCCAATAACCAATGTGGTTTTATTTACCTACTACTAAAGAGAGTTTATTGGGCAAAGTTTGAGGCAAAGCTTTTTTCCGATGCGAAACGCCTTGGACTGCTCTTACAGAGCTCACCACTTAAATTCTCTCGACCAACCAGAACCATAAAACTGTTTGTCAACTGTCATATGATAACCTCTGATTTTAAAAATGATAAAACTGATCCGTGTGAAAGATCTTTATCAAGTCTCTACGAACAAGCCCAAAATTACAGAAACGGCGATAAGAAGGCTTATTGCAAATCCTTCTAAAGAGCACCTTTTTGCAGACAGAAGACACAGGTCTACTTTCAGTGAAAATTAAGCAATATTGATCGCCCATCTTTCGGCGTTTCTTTCAAATTTGTGTTGTCTATAATCTGTTTTGAAAAAAAAAAACAGCATCTCTTTACTGTATTGACTGTAATTTCGGTATGATCACTTGCCAAGTTTTGTTACGATAATTGGCTAGTTTATTCTCTGCACTTTCAACAACGTTGGTTTACAAACTTTGGGCCGGTTATTTAAACGCGGTCTAACCCAAACCGCGGTTTCACACAAACAATGGGCCTTAGGCACTCTCTATAAGAGGGTTGATTTGGGTAAATAATTATTTTTTTCTTATATGAGAGCTGCAGCATGAGTATTAAACCTGTTGTCACAAAGTTTCACAATTCTTCGCCTCATGAAAAGCAGTGTTATTCCTGTATTTAGGACCCAACAGTATTTCTTTTATTTCATTTCAAACAATTCTACCAAAAGTAAAGTGAGAAGTCTTGAATAAAGGTACATACCACTCTTTGTCTTAAATGTTCTGACATCTGGCTCACTGTCTCCTTGTTCGTTGACAGCAAACAGTTTCACTTCATACTCTGCGTCATACTCAAGACCAGTTATCTTGAGGTGAGTTTCCACAATATTTTCTCGTTGAACCATTTCTGTGGATCCTGTCATGGGTTGTTTCCTCCATTCCAGACGGTATTTAATGCTGCCATTACTGCTGTTGGCCTCAGCTTCTGACCAGGTAACAGTGACATCCTTCTCATCTTCTATTTCTATATTAGTGATGGTTGGTTTCTCAGGTAAACCTGTTTAAAATTAGCTTCTTTTAAACTTTGTCTCTGATAAATGTGACATACTTATTTTAACTACATAAAACACGAATACACGTCAATTTAATCATTTCAACAAGTAATATGAATGCAACCGATCTTAACATGTCAGATCCAAAAAAAAAATGTCAGATCCAAAAAAAAAAAAAAACCGGATCCAAAAAAAATAAGCTCGAAATGTACGTTTTAAATAATTTTGTTTTCATGTAATCATACACAGATGATCTACAAAACTCGATCTCTAGTCTGTTATACATGTGGACGTTTCGCACTCAGTCGATTTATACCCAGTTTAAGTCGTTCGTACCCGAACCACTGGTTGACTCGCACCCGTTCCCAGATTAAGTGATCACCAAAACCCAGGAGATCTCCCAAAATAGGTCACCCACAATTGAGTAAACAGATGTCGGTTGTTGCATACAGAAAGTAAGAAAGGAGTCAAATGAGTATTACAGATACAAGTAAAGTTCTGTGGTGTATTCTTGTGACTCTCTCAACAACAAAAATATCAGACCCCGCATTTCTGACTCTAGGCCTTAAATTTAATGGTCGCGCTAAGCAGAATGCAGAGTCGGGTGGTTAAAGCTGCGGAGTAAAGGTCATGGCGGCACTGCAATTTTTAGGCGAGAGCTTTAAGCTTCACTTTATCTCCATGAGTGAACGCAACTGCGTAGAAATTTCTTCCCATGTTCTAGAACCACCCCACAGCTTCAAATTCCAACATCTGCCTTTATTTGATGCTTCAGTGATTATTATTTTTGGATGCAGCCTGGTACTAGACTCATCCTAGTGACCTCTTCCATTTTCAACTCTGGGAGGTAAAAGATACTTCTCGGCTAACACATTTTATCGATTCATAAGCAGTTGTACTGGGCTGGCGTGAAGGCCTTGAGTAGAAGTTGTGCGGTAGTCAAGGAGAGCCAGTAAAGCAGCAGAAGCATCCTTTGTTGCTTCTTTTTATTTAGCCCTAGGCTGCTTCAGCTGTATTTTCAACTTTTCCATTGTTATTAGGGAGTTATTAGGTATTAGGGGGAAGTTGTGACTCATTGATATTTCTATTTCTTGCTGAAATAGGGTCAATGGAACATTGACAGGCGTTGGCTGTTGCTTTTATTTTACCGTCATTTGGTGTAACAGTACCAATAAGACTCTCTTCCAGATAGATTGTTTAGAGTTATGAAGTGTAATATACTAACTTTACTTAATATAAAATTTTTGATTCCATACAATGATCATTGAATTGTTTGTTTTCAGAGGCATGCATTTCCAAATTGTTGGCCGGCAATCAATACCAAATAAATAAAATTAAACATATTGATATAATACAAAAGGTTGATAAAACATTGATGAACTCCTCTTTCTATTATCATAAATTAATAACAAGTCTTATCAATGTAATTTAATTTAGGTGAGGATAGTAAAACATTTTTGGCAAATAATTATTTTTTCTTATATGAGAGCTGCAGCATGAATATTCAACCTGTTGTCACAAAGTATCACAATTCTTCGCCTTATGAAAAGTTGTGTAACTCCTGTATTTAGGACCCAACAGTATTTATTTTTTTCATTTCAAACAATTCTACCAAAGGTAAAGTGAGAAGTCTTAAATAAAGGTACATACCACTCTTTGTCTTAAATGTTCTGACATCTGGCTCACTGTCTCCTTGTTCGTTGACAGCGAACAGTTTTACTTCGTACTCTGTGTCATACTCAAGACCAGTAATCTTAAGGTGTGTTCTCTCTATAGTTTCTAGTTGAACCGTTTCTGTGGATCCTGTCACCGGTTGTTTCCTCCATTTCAGACGGTATTTAATGCTGCGATTACTGCTGTTGGCCTCAGCCTCTGACCACATAACAGTGAAATCCTTGTCAACTTCCGTTTCTGTGTTTGTGATGGTTGGTTTCTCAGGTAAACCTGTTCAAAGTGATGCTTCATTCAAACATTGCATCTGATAAATGTGAAATACTCATTGTAACTGACTAAAACACGAATACATGTCAATTTAATCATTTCAAGAAGTAATACCAATGCAACGGGTCTTAACATGTCAGATCAAAAACATGATAAGCTCGAAATATACCTTTTAGATAATTTTGGTCTCTTATATACATATAAATGATCTACAAACTCGCTGTTTAGTCTGTCGTACCCGTGGACGTTTCGCACTCAGTCGATTCACACCTAGTTTGACTCGTTCGTACCCGACCCGGTGGTTGATTCGCACCCGTCCCAAAATTATCTCTGGGAGGTAAAAGATACTTCTCGGTCAGTACATTTCATTTACTCATGAGCCACTGTACTGGGCTGGTGTGAAGGCCTTGAGTAGGAGCTGTGCGTTAGTCAAGGAGAACCAGTAAAGCAGCAGAAGCATCCCTTGTTGCTTCTTTTTATCAAGCTCTAGGCTGCTTCAGCTGTATTTTCAATTTTCCCTCTGTTATTAGTGGGTTATTAGGTATTAGGGGAAGATTGGGACTGATTGAAATTTCTATTACTTACTAAAAAGGGGTCAATGAAACATTGACAAGCGCCAGTTGTTGCTTTTTTTACCGCAATTTGCTCTTTAGGTGATGAATTTGATCATGTGAACAAAACAGTACCAAGATTTTAGATATATGAAAATTCACATATTTGCACTGCGGTGGAAAGATGAAAATAGAAGATCCTCGCAGCTAGGAACACTACTGAAACTAGTAGTTGTAAGTAAGACCTGAAAAAAATTTCAGGCCCGTACGGGCCTGAAATTTTTTTTCAGGTCTTACTTACAACTACTAGTTTCAGTAGTGTTCTTAGCTGCGAGGATCTTCTAATTTCAAAACAGTACCAATAACACTCTCTCCCAAATAGGTTGTTTAGAATTATGAAGTGTATTATAGTAACAAACATCACTCCTCCACCTCCCCTCGATAAATATTTGTGGGTTGTCTTCTATATGCTCATGCTAAATCTCTTTCTTTCGTTTAGTCATTGCAACAATTATATCACTGACTAACATTTCTGCACCAGTGTTTTGGCTATGGTAATTTGCTCGCAGTTAAACTTTAAAATATTTACTTACCTAGCAGAAGCTTGTCAAACTCAGGGCTTTCAGGGTTTTTAACCAACACTTGTAGATAGTCTCTCCTGTTACGGCACAAGTGTAGGACTTCTAATATACTAACCACCATAAAAAAGGCATCGACAGAGATGAAAGCTTTATTTAGGTTTGATTTCTCCTGGTGATGAAGATCATTACATTGCAATGTTCTATTTGTCTGCTTGAGTGGACTCAGCGTGGTTTGACTGTTGGTCGGCAAGATCTTATTAACATCACACTTAAAACTGGAAGGTAAAGAAATTGTCTGGTAACTGCAAACCAGCCCCAGCATAACACCCAGGAACAATATTCGAAAGATTACATGGATGAAGTAGCCGCAAAGAAATTTCTTTGTGTTTTTGTTATTTCTGTGTCCTGCTCTTTTTTGAAGGGTCACAGCGCCAAAAATTGCAAAGATGATCCAGCATGCGCACAAAATACCGAGTGTCGTGGCAACAACATTCCGAGGTATTAACCCATGAGGCTTGGTAACTGTGGAAATGTAGTTGTTATAGCAACGTTGTCTGATAAAATCACTGGGTTTGGGGTCGCAGTTGAAGTTAAGTCTATCACTGTCATGATACTTTTGTAAAAGGCCAAGAATGTAACCCAGCGATCCAACAGACAAAATACACTGAACTCCTCCAAAAGCAGTTTGAAACTTGATAACCTTTGTACAGCTATCAAACATCATTCCATAAAGTATCAGTACCTAAAAAGAAGCATAAGAAAAATAGTTATTAATATTAATGCACCAAGTGACTTGATGACTTGCATAAGTTAAACCTGACTCAAGAAGATACTTTTCAAGCTTATCTGAAATTTCTGCGAATACCTTCGTATCCAAAGACAATTATCAGCGTTCTGGTGAGAATTGTCATTCAAAATAGGTGTCATTAACTTAAGTTTGAACATTTGCTTCAATTTTGTGCTGACATCCCTGGAAGCTAAATGGTGCAACAGCCTATCTAGCTGCTCTACCAACTATAGTTAGTTATCATGCACCAAATATATTTGTTCACACTTCATTGGTCTCGAAACATCCTGTGATTGAATATGCTCTGCTGAAAACAAGGGGAAAACAGGAGCAAAAGCCTTTATTTGGCATGAAAATATGCACAGGTGTTCGTCCGCGAACATTATTTGTTCTGGAATGAGAACAGGTTTGCGTTTCCCTCACTGGGAATTAAATTTAAAACAAACGCGTTTCTCATAGTATGCGTAAGGTTCGAAAATTGGGGAGTTTCATTTGGGGTATCCCGGGATATGCCCTAGCTTTAGCTCGGGCAGATGCGATCAAGCGATGCTTTTAAACCATTTGCACACCAACAAAATTATTTAGTGGATTATAAGCGCCAATAAATTCCCCAAGTGATATTTCCTAATTTTAAGCACATACATCCAGTTTGGTCGAAGTCGCTATTTTAAATTTCAATTCACAATGAGACCGCTAGCTTTTAGCAGTACTAACAGAAGAAAAGCCATGATATTTGTATGTTCATAAAGTCATAAACGAGAAAAGTGAACATCGATCCTACAGATGCAGTAAACAGCGAACTGTCTAAAAAAATTTTGTCCTTTGTGCCCCAAGTAAAGGCAGGAGGCCAGATCCCGCCAATCCCAAGTAGGATCCTGAGCAGGATTTTGGAACTTCCCACATGGTATCCCGCCTAAATTTTCGAGTGGAATCCTGTAAATCCCACCTACAATTCTTAGATTGCAGTGTAAGCTACACTGATCAAGCAAGAAATGAAGCTATCCAAGAGGATACAAGTACTGCATGATCATGGATAGAGCTTTTGAGTCACTGCTCTCTGAAATTTACAATTTTTTATTTTAACAGCAGGATTTATTACTGGTCGCATTTTAGAATAATAATGATACAAGAAAGTTTAAGATATCTGACTCTATTGAGGCCGAAATTTCTCGTACATGTCCAACGCACAAACGTAATTAACTCAAGTATTGAAGCGAAGTGAATATTTGAAGCGGTAGTTAAAATAGGATAGCAAATTATAATTTACTACAACTATACGTAAAGAAACAAAAAACGAGAAAACAAAATAAAGGAAAATAAAAGACGCTTACAAAGTTGTTCGAGATCCGAGGACAAATTGCTGGTTAAAGACGATATTAAACGATTTAAAGCGAAAATGGTCCATCACAATTAAACATTAAACCCGAATGAATAAAAGTTATGGTAAAAAATTTATATAAATGACGGAAAGAAAAATTCTGCGAAAAAAAAGTTAACAGAATATCGATTAAATGAATGTCCGAGAAAACAAAAGACTAATAAAAAAGCGACATGAGCAAAAGAAAAAGAAAAAGAATAAGAAAAACGTCAAAAAAAAAAGACCTGAAATAATTTTTGCGTTAACACCTGGCTCCCCTAGGAGTTTTCTAACATCCTTGTGCTCTCAATTCCTTAATAACAAAATCAAAAACAAAGTTATCAAATTTATGGCTCCTCTGGCTTGGATTACCCTGGATTTCATTCTTCATTTTCTCGTAAAAGTGCAAGGTTGTCGATTGGGCACTCTAGTGTTGTTCCTACAGCGGTAACTTTGACAGTTTCTGAGTGTGCTTCGACAACTCGGGCCATGTTCGGTACACGGTCATCAATGATTAGTACAAGGTCTACCTTAACAAAGTTCCTCCTTGGGCGGTTTCATTTCACTCTCTGCTGTAGATTTTGTACAGACTCCTTTCTCCACCTCGACCAGAAGACCTTCGAAAAATACTGAATGCGTTTCCATCTCCTTCGAAGGCAAACATCAGTCTCCTGAAAATTACCTGGTGGAGGCATAACAACCCTGGACTTCAGAGTCAGCACGTGGCTTGGAGTGAGTGGATCCGAATTACGGGGATCACCCGAGGGGTAGAAAGTGGTTGGCTGTTGAGAATGCATTCGACCTTAGTTAACAATGTCCTGAATGACTCATCATCCAGGGTGTGACCGTACTCTCGCATTAGAGACGACAGAATAGATGGAATTAACTGTATTTGGCGTTCCCAGGCCCACCCATATGGGACGCTGCAGGTGGATTCTGTTTCCATTAGATCTCCCAATCAGCATAAAAGTATGCAGAAAGGTATCTTTGAATTGGGCAGTGGCCCATCTCTTCCAAACCTTTCCCTAACTTGTTCTTTGCTCCCACGATATTGGTACCCTGATCTGATCTTATATCACGTACTGGGCCCCTCCTTGCTATAAATCTCCATAAGGCGTTGAGAAAGGAATCTGTTTCCAATGAGTTAGCTGTTTCGATGTGGACCGCTCTGCTGGCCAAACAAGTAAATATTGCCCCATAGCATTTCACTTCTTTCCTTTCTTGCTTGATACGGAATGGAAGGGGAATTTCGTAATGATTATCATTCGTATGGCGAGTACCGTCACTAACTATCTTTAGGAACTTCTTATCTTTTTGAGAGTGTGTTTGTGTGATGAAAAGGCCAATCTTGGCGCCAGGTATCTGTGGTGGTAAATCGTCAGCAGTGCTCTTGAGATGTTTTCATTTGTGAACGACTTTGTGGGAACAGATCTTCTCGCTGGGAGAGGTCTTCACTTGTAAATACCTTTGGCAGTTGAACGCGATTTTTGCCTCTCAGATCTGAGAAAACTGATCCATTTTGGATCTTTGTGTCTTGCAATTGCCTTCCATTCATGGTCTTCCCCGTTAATCGTGTATCAGCTCCCTTTATACCCAGGCTATCTGCAATGTCCTCAAGAACAAATGATCCAGTGCTGCACATGTCTAGCATGGCGTATTTAGGTTCTTCACTCTCTCTAGATCCTGATCTTAATCTGACAGGGGCGATGGGAACAACGGAAGCAGGCTCCTGCGCGTGAGCAGCGTTACAGCTAGCTTACTTGAATTCTGAGAGCGTAGGAGTGCTTCGAATGAGCTTGGAGTTGTCGTCATGAAACCTTGTGGGTTGGTGACGCGAGCACGTTTTAGACGTTCTTCCTTAGACCTATCCATTGGATTGGTGGCCAGTATCGTAACACGTGAAACACAGCCTTTTCTCTCTAAGAAACTCTCGTTTGGCAATCGTCTAAGTCATGGTTTTTGCTACAGAGTTTCCAAAGACTGGTATATTTATCTGAGTTTATCCTTTGGTCTGCGGGTACTTGCGTTGCGTGGCTAGATTCCTTTCCCTTTGACAAAACGATAAGGTTGGTCCATGGAGCTATCCACGCGACAGAGGGTTCTTTGCGAGAAGACCGGATCGTTTGCAACGCTTGCCTTGGCGTTCACAAATTTTACGAAGTTTCCAAGGGCAGGAATCTCTCTCTCAGACATTCTTGTTCTACTGGCTTCACGGCACCACCTGTCCTGGAGCTGGGAAGGAAGCAAGGCCACCATGCTCTGCAAATTTAGTGGATGATTGAGGATTGATAGGAAGGTCAGCTTTGTAATAGCACCTCGGCGCTGGGTAAGAAATACAGAAAATTTGTTTAGAGCCTGTTCATCACCGGTCCAAATGGTGGGCCATTCATTGATTTTCTTCAGGTAGACATTCGATATTCTGTACGGGTCTCCATACTTTTCTCTAAGGGGCATCTGCACTCTTTCGGGTCCTCCTTCCAGGTACTGCTCTGGGCACTGTAAGCACACAGCATTTGACCCGACTTTAGCTTCTATTTATTATTCGTAGCACTGAATGAAGGTCGAAAATTCCAGGGGATCGCCCGTAAAATTAGTTAATGTCTGCCAGGGGAGCAGACTCTGTTGCTGTCGTTCCACCAGTAGCTCCATAAGTCTATTTTGTGCATCATAAAACTACATTGGCGTCGTATTTGGCTGCACATCAGAGGTGGGAATCTCAGGGGCCAAGGGGTTTAAGCTGGGATGTTGCTGCATTGGCTTAGGAGGTACTCTAGGTTAGTCATAATAATCTGGATCAGAGCTTACACTGGTGGCGGTTTTCAAAGGTATTTCTGAGGCGGTGTAATAACTTGAAGATGGCGTGAAAGCAGACCCAGAAGTTGAAGATGATTGAGTACAAAAGACTTCTGAGGAAAGTTTAGGTTGATGGCTTGAATCCTCTCTTACATTCTCTAGAGCCTCTTTCGCATATTCAATCGAATGTACCGTTTTGTATGTACCAAACGATTTGGCACACCATTCAGGTGCCTAGGGATTCAACTGAAGCTGTACCAGTTACGTATTCTGCTTGACGAGTTGCGACCCGACTCGACTCAAGAGGTATCACCTCATTCGGTCTATCCACGGAGGATTTCTTTCCTACTCTGTCTTTAACGAAGGTGCGGTGAAAACCTTTTCTCTTTGAGTTTGAACAGTTTCATTATCAATGCTGGCTTCCAAAATTCTTGCTTTGAGTGTAGCTGTTTCGATGTCGTTCTGCGCATCTAAAAGTTCCGGTTGCCGAAGTAAAACATCGCATCTTTCTTTACTTCAAATTTTTACTTTACTCGCTGTAACCGTAACTAAGCAACCGCCTGTTCGGTCTTCGCTCCCTTCATTTTTCCACTTAAGCGGGAACTTGGACGCTGACTACTTTTTGTTGCTGAAGTGCTGTGACGACTCACAGAATCTCGTAGTCGAATGTCGTTTTCTAGTAAAGATGTCTACGCGTTAAAGCTAATCATCCATTCTTCGTCACATTGATTAAACTCGAATTTATCATTAACACGACTTTCAAACCCCAGTGTTGCTCTGAATCTCTTCCATATTATGAAGGCTTTCCATATAGGGAATATGCGCTCCTTCGTAATTTGCAAATGCCGCATGGATAACTTCAAGCTTCTTGTTAACGAGTTCCCTATTCTGCTTGTTGAGAAGTAAAATTTCAGTTTCTCTATAAAGCTTTGAGAGGAAGCCTGGTGTAACCAGGTCCGACAGTAAAAACTCTTTTAAAAAATAAAGTAACACGGCGCTAGCAAAAACTGACGAAGCGACTGACCATAGAAATCAATTATCAATGAGAATTATCTCACGAAAACAACGCTTGTACTGACGAGAAATAAAACGCTACCGGCGTTACGTAATTCTTACACAACCTCACGCAAAAACGCGAACTTAATTGAATAGAAACAGAACATCACAAGAGTAGTTCCGTCAATTGAAAGAAAAACAATACAAAATAATTTCACAGTTACTTGACAATAGATGAAAAGGCAAATTCAAGTTGCTACAGGCACATGTATCAATAGACCAAATTGCTCAGCATCAGCTAAAAAAAAGTGGTAATTTTGAATACCCCACAAATTGGTGATATAAACAAAAATGTGTAATTAAGACTTAGAAGCTTGTGTTCTATTAACAATTTAAATTAAAGAAACAAAACATTTTCACTGTACAGCGGCAGGAGTAATATTATAACAATAGAACCCTTAACCCTTTACACCCTAACATTAGTGTTGATATTCTCCACACTGATCTCTCTACATTTCCTGTGGTAATGACAAGGAGAATTTGGTTGACAATCACGAGCTTCTTAAACTGGTGATTATTTCTATTATTCTCACAACCCTTACACTTGATTCAAGGGTGATACTGTAAGGAGAAATTAGAAGCCAATCACTCTTTGGGGTTTAAGGGGTAATAAACTGGTGAAAATCTTCCATCTGGCTTTTAAATGCATATATTGATTATATAGTCGCAATTTTAGGTGTTAGAGGATTTAAGTTCAGTGTTAGTATTATGGGATATATTAATAAGAAGATGTTGGTTATTTAAGTAAATGTTGAGTTCAGTATGATGAATGGCTTCGTGTTCAAATACTTGCACATACAGCAAGCAACTATAATCATGTAGATAAATTATACTTGCAATAACTGCAGCCTGCATGAAGAATAAGCTGTGAAACTGACTTTCTTGCTTCCACCCCCGACTCAAGCTACCGTTTGCATGCAATGGTTTCAGTGTAAGGCCCTGAGCGCCGAAATTGCTCTGTAAAATTATGCAGCAAACATCGAACAAACTGAGAAGTGACATCCACATTGACTCTAGCATATTTGCGTTAGACAAAAAAAAAACCACTTTCGAGTGCTTGCTGAGTTTAATGAACTAGGAAGCTGTGACAAGGATTATTGACAGTGTGCGTTTCTTGATGTGCGATTGGTAAATGTCCCCACATAAGTATTTTACGATGGTTTGTTAAAAGCGTTCTTCTTACCTCTAGCTTTGAGCTTTTCTCCTGATATCGACACAATCTGTCACTCAACGCTTAAAATCGATTCCACCGACAGCTGTTGGAAAAAACTGATATGAATTCAATGCAATCAAATAAAACCGCTCGGTTTCGATTCTCGATCAAATATCTTAATTTAAGAGTTGTTCTTCAGATCGTCTGTCTCGTACCCGTGCTTCTAACCCCAAAACTAATTTTATACAAGACAAAAAGATATTGGCTCTCTACGAATTTTAAAGACACTGCATTTAGTTCGCCTCTGTCGATCCAGTATTGGTTTGTCATGATGCAATGCTTCGAGAATTAGGGCGTCGTCATACGCCAATTACCGTATACCAAAGAATCCAAAGCACGTACTCTTCCTGATGACTGAGTCCAACACAACCATGAAATGGCTGTTGTTAAATGCAAATATTACGAGAAAGATCCAAAACACTACAATCCCTTAGCTTTTCACTCCCAAGATCTCTTTGGTAATTTTCCTTGCTGTCATTGCTTTGAGCGATAAATGTGAATCAATGTAGAGTACGTATGGGTCTGTCGATTCTTGGAAAGAGTCAGGCGTGCAGTGGTCAGCCTCGAGAACATAGAGATAGAACAGAAGAGTTGAAAGTAATAACTTCAGTGCTGGTTGAGTGACTCAATTTGTTCTTTACTATGATATATTAATTTTACGTGATCAACTACATGTTTGCGTGAATGTTCCCGTACTTATAAATTTAGTGGATTCAGCTTACCTTCGCAATGACCTTATCTTCGGTACTCAGTGTTTACTTTTGTATCTCTGAAGGGGTGATGGATTTCTAAATAAAAGAAATAACAAGTTAACATGTACAGAGAACCTCACGATCAAACTGTAAACTGCTGTCTTCTTTTTGGTTGAGGTTGAGCCGTATGTCTATTCACGCGAACAGAATCTCAGTGAAATAGTAATCGTTCTACTTGTTCTATGATTTGATACACTTGAGCACAATGCTTTGATTCTGTAGAATATAAATGCGTTTGGAGATAAAGACGGAACAAAAAACATGTTTTAAGACCCTCGACATACGACGCCGATGGGAACCTCTCATGTTAAGGGTGCAAGGTCTAACACTCGCAAGTGTATACCACCGTATACCACCACTTTCGAAATTCAGATTTAACCCACAATAAAATTTAGCTTACATATACCAATAAGCTTGCTAAGTTTAAAGAACTGGGAAGCTCTGACAAGGATTTTTGACAGTGTGCGTTTCTATAATAACTCATCATCTACAAGTAAAAAAGCGATTGGCTGTCTACGAATTTTAAAGGCACTGCATTTAGTTCGCCTCCGTCGATCCAGTATTGGTTTGTAATGATGCAAGGCTTCGAGAGTTAGGGCGTCGTCTGTCAGGTCACGCGATCACAGACAATCATACGTCAATCACGGTATAACAAAGCGTCAAAAGCACGCACTCATCCGGATGGCTGAGTCCAACACAACAATGAAATGGCTGTTGTAAAATGCAAATATTACGACAAAGTTCCAAAACACTACAATCCCTAAACCTTTCACTGCCAAGATCTCTTTGGTAATATTCCTTACTGTCATTGCTTTGGGCGATAAATGTGAATCAATGTAGAGTACGTATGGGTTTGTCGATTCTTGGAAAGAGTCAGGCGTGCAGTGGTCAGCCCCAAGAACACAGAGACAGAACAGGAGAGTTGAAAGTAATAACTTCAGTGCTTGTTGAGTGATTCAATTTGTTCTTTATTATGATATACTAATTTTACGTGATCAACTACATGTATGCATAAAATGTTTTCGTATTTATAAACTTAGTGGATTTAAATTACCTTCGTAATGACCCTTTCTTCGGTACTCAGTGTTTATTGTTGTATCTTCGAAGAAGGAATGGATTTCTAAACAAAAAAAAGTAACAAGTTAACATGTACAGAGAACCTCATGATCAAACTGCGAACTGCCATCTTGTTTTTTGTTGAGGTTGAGCCGTTTGTCAGTTCACGCGAACATAATGATCTCAGTGAAATATTCATCGTTCTACTTGTTCTATAATTTGATACACTTGAGTGCAATCCTTCGATTCTGTAGGATATATGTGCGTTTGAAGATCACGAAGGAACAAAAGACATGTTTTAAGACCCTCGACAAGGGACGCCGATGGGAACATTTCATGTTAAGGGTGCGAGGCCTAATACTTGCAAGTGGTGGAGATTATAACAAACACGATGCCTAATTCGTGTCATATTTTACTTCCCCTGAAGCTGAAGCGTACTTAAGCCACCCTCTGCTTGCAATGGTTGTAGTGTAAGGAACCGAAATTGCTCTGTAAAATTATGCTGCAAACATCAAATGAACTGAGAAGTGACATCGACTTTGACTCTAACATGGTTGCGATATAAGTTAGACAAAACAAAACCACTTTCGAATTCACATTTTACTCACAGTAACATTTAGCTTCCGTATATCAGTAAGCTTGCTGAGTTTAAAGAACTGAGAAACTGTGAGAAGGATTAATGACGGTGTGCGTTTCTCTATGTGCGATTCATATATGTCCCTACACAAGTATTTTACAATGGTTTGTTACAAGCATTCTTCTTACCTTTAGCTTCGAGCTTCTCTTCTGATATAGACACAATCAGTCACACAGCGCTTGAACTCGATTCGACCAACAGCTGTTGGAAAAACTGACATGAACTTAACTCAATCAAACAAAGCCGCTCGGCCTCGATTCTTGATGAAATACCTTTAGTTGAAGGTAGTTCTGCAAATCGTCTGTCTCATAACCGTGCTTCTGGCCCCATAGCTCATTTTCTACGCGTCAAAAAGTGACTTTGTCTTTAAGAATTTTGAAGACGCTGCATTTAGTTCGCGTTGCAATGATGCAAAGCTTCGAGAAGTAGGGTCAGAACAATAATATGGCTGTTGTAAAATGCAAATGTTACGACAAAGTTCCAAAATACCGCAATCCCTAAGTCTTTCACTGCGAAGATCTCTTTGGTAATATTCCTTACTATTCCATTGTTTTGAGCGATAAATGTGAATCAGTGCAGAGTACGCATGGGTCTGTCAATTGTCGGAAAGTGTCAGGCGTGCACTGGTCAGCCCAAAAACACGGAGATAAAACGGAAGAATTGAAAGTAATAACTTCAGTGCTTGTTGAGTGACTCAATTTGTTCTTTAATATGGTATACTGATTTTACGTGATGAACTATATGTATGCGTGAATGTTCCCTTAAATATAAACTCAGTGGATTAAACTTACCTTTGCAATGACGTTATCTTCGTTACTCAGTGTTTATTGTTGTATCTTTGAAGAAGGAATGGATTTCTAAATAAAAAAATGACAGATTAACATGTACAGAGAACCTCGTGATTAAATTGGTTGAAGTTGAGCCATTAGTCTGTTAACGCGAACATAATCTTAGTAAATATATTTATCGCTCTACTTGTTCTATATTTTGATCTATACTTGAGAGCAATGCTTGAATTCTTTAGGATATTTGTGCGTTTGAAGCTCAAAAGGAACAAAAAAGCATGTTTCAAGATCCTCGACAAACGCTGCTGGGAACATTTCATTTTAAGGGTGCAAGGTGAGCTTACGACAAAAAAGATGCCTAATTCATGTCTTCGCCTTAAGCCGGCCACCCTTCGCTTGCAATGGTTTCAGTGTAAGGCCCTAAGCACCGAAATTGCTCTGTAAAATTATGCAGCAAACATCGAACAAACTGAGAAGTGACATCCACATTGACTCTAGCATATTTGCGTTATACGTCAGACAAAAAAAGACCACCTTCGAAATTCAGATTTTACCCACAGTGAAATCTAGCTTACACATACCAATAAGCTTGTTGAGTTTAAAGAAATGGGAAGCTATGAGAAGGATTATTGACGGTGTGCGTTTCTTTATGCGCGATTGGTAAATGTCCCCACAGAAGTATTTTACAATGATTTGTTAAAAGCGTTCTTCTTACCTTCAGCTTTGAGCTTCTCTCCTGATATAGACACACTCTGTCACTCAACGCTTAAAATCGATTCGACCAACAGCTGTTGGAAAAGACTGATATGAATTCAGTGCAATTAAATAAAACCGCTCCGTTTCCATTCTCCATCAAATATCTTAGTTTGAAGGTTGTTCTTCAAATCGTCTGTCTCGTACCCGTGCCTCTGGACCCAAAACTCATTTTCTAGAAGTAAAAAAGTGATTGGCTGTCTACGAATTTTAAAGGCGCTGCATTTAGTTCGCCTCCGTCGATCTAATATTGGTTTGTAATGATGCAAGGCTTCGAGAATTAGGGAGTCGTCTATCAGATCACGCGGTCACAGACAATCATACGTCAATCACTGTATACCAAAGAGTCAAAAGCACGCACTCATCCGGATGGTTGAGTCCAAAACAACAATGAAATAGCTGTTGTAAAATGCAAATATTTCGAGAAAGTTCCAAAACACTACAATCCCTAAGCCTTTCACTGCGATGATCTCTTTGGTGATATTCCTTAGTGTCATTGTTTTGAACGATAAATGTGAATCAATGTAGAGTACGTATGGGTCTGTCGACTCTCGGAAACGGTCAGACGTGCCTTGATCAGCCCAAAAACACGGAGATAAAACGGAAGAATTTAATATGATAACTTCAGTGCTTGTTGAGTGACTCAAGTTGTTCTTTACTATGATATATTAATTTTACGTAATCAATTACATGTATGCGTGAATGTTCCCTTATTTATAAACTCAGAGGATTAAACTTACCTTCGAAATGACCTTATCTTCGTTATTCAGTATTGACTGTTGTATGTTCGTAGAAGGGACGGATTTCTAAACAAAAAAATAACAAGTTAATATGTACAGAGAACCCTATGATCAAACTGTGACCTGCCATCTTGTTTTTGGTTGAGGTTGAGCCGTTTGTCTGTTCACGCGAACATAATCTCAGTGGGGAAATATTCATCGTTCTACTTGTTCTATATTTTGATATATACTTGAGTGCAATGCTTGAATTTTGTAAGACATATAGGCATCTAAAGATCAAAAAGGAATAAAAACATGTTTTAAGATCCTCGACAAGGATACCGAGAGAAACATTCCATTTGAAGGGTGCAAGGTCTATCACTCGCAAGTGATGGAGCTTATAACAAGCACGATGCCTAATTCGTGTCATATTTTATTTACACTTTAGTCTGAAGCGTCCTTAAGCTACTCTTCGCTTGCAGTGGTTTGAGTGTAAGGCCCTAAGCACCGAAATTGCTCTTTTAAATTATGCAGCAAACGTCAAATTAACTGAGAAATGACATCGACTTTGACTCTGTGTTATACGTCAGACAAAAAAAGACCACTTTCGAAATTCAGATTTTACCCACAGTAAAATTTAGCTTACATATTAAAATAAGCTTGCTGAGTTTAAAGAACTGGGAGGCTGTGACCAGAATTATTGGCGGGTGTGCGTTTCTTTATGTACGATTCGTAAATGTTCCCACATAATTATTTTACAATGGTTTGTTAAAAGCGTTCTTCTTACCTTAAGCTTTGAGCTTCTCTCCTGATACAGACACAATCTGTAACACAACGCTTGAATTCGATTCGACCAACAGCTGTTGGAAAAAAATGACATGAATTCAACTCAATCAAACAAAACCACTCACTTTCGATTCTCGATCAAATACCTCAAGTCGAAGGTTGTTCTTCAAATCGTCTGTCTCGTAACCGTGCTTCTGGCCCCAAAACTAATTTTCTACGCGTCAAAAAGTGAGTTGCTCTTTACGAATTTGAAGACGCTGCATTTAGCTGGCGTTGCAATGATGTAATTCTTCAAGGGTTGGCTGAGTCCAACAGAACAATATTATGGCTGTTGTAAAATGCAAATGTTACGACAAAGTTCCAAAATACTGCAATCCCTTGGTCTTTCACTGCTGAGATCTCTTTGGTAATATTCCTTACTGTCTCATTGTTTTGAGCGATAAATGAAAATCAATGTAGAGAACATATGGGTCTGTCGATTCTCGGAGAGAGTCAGGCATGCATTGGTCAGCCCAAAAAGATGGAGATAGAACAGAAGAGTTGAAAGTAATAACTTCAGTGCTTGTTCAGTGACTCAATTTGTTCTTTACTATGATATACTAATTTTACGTAATCAGCTACATATATGCGTGAACGTTTCCCATATTTATGAACTCAGTGGATTAAACTTACCTACCTGATGACCTTATCTTCGTTATTCAGTATTAACTGTTATATCTTCGAAGAAAGAATGGATTTCTAAACAAAAACATAACAAGTAAACATGTACAGAGAACCTCATGATCAAACTGTGAACTGCCATCTTGTTGTCGGTTGTAGGATTTATATGCGTTTGAACATCAAGAAGGAAAAAAAGGCATGTTTCAAGACCGTCCACAAAGGACGTCGATGGAAACATTTCATTTTAGGGGTGCAAGGTCTAACACTCGCAAGTGATGGAGATTATGACAAACACGATGCTTAATTCGTGTCATATTTTACTTACACTTTAAGCCGAAGCGTCCTTAAGCCAGCCACCCTTCGCTTGCGATGGTTTCAGTGTAAGGCCATAAGCACCGAAATTGCTTTGTAAAATTATGCAGCAAACATCAAATTAACTGAGAAGTGACATCGAATATGACTCTAGCATTTTTGCGTTATACGTCAGAGAAAAAAGAACTACTTTCGGAATTTAGATTTTACGTGCAGTAAAATTTAGCTTACACATACCAATAGGCTTGCTGATTTCGAAGAAATTGAAAGCTGTGACAAGGATTATTGACTGTGTGCGTTTCTTTACGTGCGATTCGTTAATGTCCCCACATAAGTATTTTGCGATGGTTTGTTAAAGACGTTCTTCTTACCTTTAGCTTTAAGCTTCTCTACTGATATAGACACAATCTGTCACTCAACGCTTGAAATCGATTGGACCACCAGCTGTTGGGAAAAAAATGATATGAATTCAACTCAATCAAATAAAACCGCTCGGTTTCGATTCTTGATCAAATACCTCAAGGTGAAGGTTGTTCTTCAAATCGTTTGTTCCGTATCCGTGCTTCTGGCCCCAAAACTAACTTTCTACATGTCGACAATTGAGTTGCTCTTTTCGAATTTTAAAGACGCTGCATTTATTTTGCGTCCGTCGATCCAGTCTTGTTTTGCAATAATGCCGCTGCTTCGAGAATTAGGGCGTCATTTGTCAGATTACGCGATCACAGACAATTAAGCATCAATCACCGTATACCAAAGAATCAAAAGCACTCATCCGGATGGCTGAGTCCAACAGAACAATGAAATGGCTGTTGTAAAATGCAAATGTTACGACAAAGTTCCAAAACACTGCAATCCCAGCTAGGCCTTTAACTGCTAAGATCTCATTAATAATATTCCTTACTGTCTGTTTTAAGCGATAAATGTGATTCAATGTAGAATACGTACGGCTCTGTTTGATAGAGTCAAGCGTGCACTGCCCCAAAACAGGGAGATAGAACGGAAGAATTGAACGAAGCAACTTCAACAATGCTTGGTGAGTGACTCAATTTGTTCTTTAATATGATATACTAATTTCAGGTGATCAACTGCATGTATGCGTGAATGTTCCCTTATTTATCAACTCAGTGGATTAAACTTACCTTCGCAATGACCTTATCTTCGTTACTCAGTGTTTACTGTTGTATCTTCGAAGAAGGACTTGATTTCTAAATAAAAACAAATAACAAGTTAACATGCACAGAGAACCTTATAGTCAAACTGTCAACCGCCATTTTGTTGTTGGTTGAGAGTGAGTCGTTAGTCTGTTCACGCAAACTTAATCTTAGTGAAATATTCTTAGTTCTACTTGTTCCAGGTTTTGATCTAAAATTGAGTGAAATGCTTGAATTCTGTAGGATATAAACACGTTTCAAGACCCTCGAGAAAGGACGGCGTTGGAAACATTTCAATTTAAAGGTGCAAGGTCTACCAATCGCAAGTGATGGAGCTTATGACAAACACGATGCCTAATTCGTGTCATATTTTACTTACACTTTAAGCTGAAGCGTCCTTAACCTACCCTTCGCTTGCAATGGTTTCAGTGTAAGGCCATAAGCGCCGAAATTGCTCGTAAAAGTATGCAGCAAACACCAAATTAAGTGAGAACTGACGTCGACTTCATTTTTCGATTAAGGTATGCTTCGTTTAGTTACGTGATGGAAAATTCTCAGCAGAAAGGCTGTTTGTTACCTTTGATCGCGTCGTGGAATTTCATTCCTTGCGTAATTTGCGCAAATGATGCGAGTAATCAATCGTGTAGAATCTATTCGAGAGAGATTTTTAGAATGCGGGAGACAGTGTACCTCATCAAGGGGGTTCTACAAAAAAAATGTGGGCGTTTAATACCAGACAATGAGATCACGAGTTGATCAGGCAGAATGCGGCCTATGAAAACACGGAAACTGATATCGGGAAATTCCCTTGGTGTCATTTATAGCTCCGCCACTAAAATTACATCAAATACGAGGACACGTAAAGAACACTTATTCGCTGACGAAACTATTGTCACGCGTGACAGATATCTGTATGAACACTAGTCCCTGTTTGGTTTGAAAATATGCACGGATATTTGTCCGCAGACATTATCTGTTCTAAAATGCAAAGTTCTCCGAGAGCCAAACTCGAGAAAAACTGTGAGCTTCGAGGAAAAAATAATATCCATGGATAAATTTACGAGCATATTTTTTCGCCTAATAGAGGCTATCGGTGTTTATTACCCTTCAAATATTTGCAAAGCGCAGGAAATTGAACGGTTTACGAAAAGCTTACCATTGACTGCGTGGGATGTTCAGTAGTCTCTGGTACGACTCTATCAACAAACAAACATGTCCCTTCTTCTGTAACAACCATATAGCGAGTAGATAGAAAAGAAGGGGTTCTGACCTTTTTTTGAAATATTCATTAAGTCTCTTGAATATTTTTTACAATTCTCACCTTCTCCCATATCAGTGACCACTTTCTTTTTCGTATTTTTTGTAATTTTGGTATTCCAACTCCCTGTAAAATATCATTTCAATCATTGATTTTTCTTTGTAATTAGTAGTGCAATCACTTTAGTATACCCTTTCCTTAGAGTATTGTGCTGAGCATTAGATGAGGAATACATTTCCATACCTTTTCTCGGCCACATCGAAAGAGCGGTTTTTTCAGAGGTTCTTCGTAGCTAGCGTAGCAAAGGTTTTTTTCGAAGAACCCTAGTTTCAGGGTGCACATATTGAGATTGTATGAGGATGCATATACAAGAAGACTGACTGATTCAACCTAAATAAACTTTTCACATTGATTATCTCGTGAGTGTAGTCAGAATTCAAAGTGGTTCAAAACCCAATTTTCAACCCCACGAACTCTCTCCATAATCAATGATTACTCCTGGTTAGGTAACTAAAGGTCACCTGACCAAGACTATCGGTAAAACTTTTAATAAACGGTCACGAAGAATGGTGGGTGACTGCTCTAAACAGGTTGACCGTTGTGCGCTCTAACAATGGTGGGAAAGATGTGGCCCCAAATGAAGCCAAAATTACAATAATTTCACACTCGACAGCTATGGCAAAGTTGCCAGATATCTCCGATAAGTAACAAGTTAACGATGACAGGGGAATCAGTGTGTCTAATGATAAAAGTGATAACGAGCAATTTGAGAATTAATTTCAAGTAGAAAACATTGTGAAATGAACAACTCGACAGTTATTTCTAATTTTCGGGTAACGCGACCACCAAAATGAGTTCCAATAGGATTATTTTAATTCCGAAACAAAATACTGAGCGATGTATACAAAAGGTGAATTTTGGACTTAGCTTAATATCGTGGCAGAGTTTGGAGGAAACCTAATTTTCTAGCCGAAATTCAGTGGACGTCCATTTTTAAAGGGACTGTGAACTAATATAAGCAATAGTTCCTTACATTAGTGAAGATGAACGTTATTGACTAAAGCTCTCCAATTGATGCAGAATTTGAAATCAACCTCTACAATGGAAATAACACTTTATTTACATTTCTTACAGTTATGTACAGTGGCAAGATTTTTTTCTTTACAAGAAATAAGGATAACTTTCAGAAAGTTAGTTTCTACTCTGGTTTTATAATTTCCTTCTGTTTAAGACTTTCCTCAAACTTATCAATTTCTGCCATGGCTTCGAAGGCTTCTTCATCTTCTTCACTGGACTCTCTATAAATACAAAAAAACAAAAACAAAACCGAAAAGAGAAACAAAAACAAAAACAACAACAACCAAAAAAAAATGGAAAAACAAAGAGAGTTTCCCACTTACAAGATGTTGAAGACATGTTCTTTGGGCTGACGATGTGAAATTACTTCTTTCTGCTCAGGGGAAATTAAAACCAAAGCACCTATCATTATTTATCATGGGGGGGGGGGGAAAGAAAGAATGAAGGGGGGATCGCATGGTTTTCAGGGGAACAGAGGGGGGGGAGAAACAGTCATTGCTGACAGAGTACAAAGGGGGGGGGCTATAAGACATTGACTGTCAATGAGGGGGATCATTAAAATACTACAAAGATTTGGGGGGGGCACAAGGTTAATTTCAGTGTGATACAACAAAAATCCTCCCCTTGGTAATATATATAGTGACTGGTCCTAAACATGGCAAAGCCTGCATGGATGGCGGTACACAAAAAAATAAATAACTGGATTTTAGCATTGGACAATCCATGGGGTGGCTCTTCCTATCCACTTTTGTCAGGTCGAATTGGAATTTAGAATGCTGGTATTTCCCTGAGAGAGGAAAACTGGAAGACCCAGAGAAAACCCCTTAGAGCAAGGACAAGAACCAACTACAAACTAAATCCACATGTGATGCCAAGTCCAAGATTTGAGCCCAGTTCACAGTAGTGGGAGGGGTGGGAGGGAAGCACTCTCACCACTGCACCCTCTGCTTCCACAATTAAAGGCTAAAAGTTTAAATTAAGGTTCAAAAATAGCTTTTCATTTTCATGAGAGGGCCAAAGGTCTGTATTTCAGGTAATATAGCATTGAATTGCAACCAGCTCCCTTCTTTAATTTCTTGAATCATGATTGATGCTCAAGATCATAAATATTTGGATATTTTAGCCTGGTTCCAACTAAGAATGGGTCTCAACTCTTTCTTGCACCCACCCCACCCCCCTCATTTGCCTTCTCACTAAAGGGAGTTCAGGTGAGAATGAAGAGATCATGACATTGAAGTAAGTGATTGCTGATTTAAACTTCTTCATGACCATGATTACCTCAATTTTTGCAGAATTGTTAAAAGTTTTGGGTATCATCCACAATGTGTCAGGATGCTATATTACATAAAAAAATACTTTGACGAAGAAAAGGAAAACTCATCTTAAGCAAGAACAGTAGTACCTTAAATTAAAGTAAACCTAAAGTGAATTCATGGGTAGTACTATACAGAATATTATCTTTTTGTATCAGGTCAACCTCTAAAGGTTGCAATTCGGATTACTGAGCTATTCTGCAATATATCTGGTACAAACTTAGCTGGGATCCCCACAAAAGTCTTCCCTAGTAATCTGCCGTATTTAATCCTTAACTCCTGTGAGTGACCAAGACAGAATTTCTCCTTCCAATATCAATACAATACCAAGCAGACAAGAGATGAAAAAAGAAAAATACCAATTAGGAGATTATAAGTTGATCAAATACCAAATTCTCCAAACTAACATCACATGAACTGTATAGTAGACAGTAAGGAGAATTACTAGCAAGATCTTGGGAGTTAAAGGGTTGACAATCAGTCCTCCATCTTAAACTCATTACACTCTAACATCAGTATGAATATTCTCCATACTGTCCCCTAAACATTTCTTAAGGTGCTGTCAAGGAGAATTTGTTTAACAATCAAAAGCTTCTTTTCCCCTATTCTTGTAGCCTTGCTGTGTGATTTAGGGGTGATATTGTAAGAAGAAATTAGATGCTACTTGTTGTGTCCATTGTGTCATTTCTGCAATTAGCTTTACTTTTCAAGGATGCTATGTTGGTGCATGCGCTAATGAAGAATTTGGCTGCAAGTGACAATTAGAAATATATTGTGTCTTCTGGAATATTAATGTTACATGTCAGTTATCTTTTTGAGACAGATTGTTGAATGCAAAGTGTATAATGAAGAGAGGGTAACTTTCTTGGAGGTACATGTTTGGCAAAGTTTGCTAAGGCTCTCAGAGAATTTCTAAGTTTAATTTGTATTATTGTAGTGTACTTGGAAATCTGAGAATTAATAAGGAAGCCTTTGCACTGGTCACTCTTTGGGGGTAAAGGGTTTATGACGGTTCATATTTAACGTGCATGCTCTCCCCTGACTCCTAAGGCTGTGCTAATACCATGCATTGCATGATGAATCCCCCCATTACTCATTCCTATTTGCTTTGCACATCCAATAGCAAAAGGGTCGCTTCACCTTTAATCTCTCAACCTTTCTTTTGGCCAGTGTTTGTTGAGCTTCTTCTCTAAAATTTAGACAAGTCTGCAAGATGCAAAGACACTATATATGATTTTGAATGCAATTTGGTGTTACTAAGCATGAGTTAATCATTCAAAGACAACAGAATTGCACAAATCCATGGGGTGAGAACAATTTGTGATCTTTGAAAAATCTACCAGTGCTTATTTAAACTAAACTTCACAGAAAGTCGAGGTGGATGAAATTTTGGCAGTGCCAATGTAAATGTACTAGTTGCACTTTGAACTTGAGTTACAACTTCAGATTTTTTCATGTACATTATTAATGGATTAATTATCTCTATTCATATCAAGCCAGAGTGAAACTCAAGTCAGGCACTTCATAACATGGGATGAGCCACCCAAGCATGGTGCAAAGGTGTGCAAAGGTGACCATATGGGGGTCAGGGCAGCAGAGATGGAGCAGTAGGCAATTGGCAAGAGTAATATGGAGTACCAGCAAAGGGAAGCTACTCCTCCAAGATTTACTCAGAGTGAAGATGAACAAGACAAAAACTTAACTTACGTTTGCTTTATATTTGAGTGTCATCGACACCCATCTTTGATTCACAAACTACATCTGACATGTATATCCCACCATCTCTGCTACCACTCAGAAAACAAATACAAGGATGGAGAAACATGCAAAAATATACATGAAAAAATTAATCTAAATTAAATTATAAAATTTAAATTTAAAAAATTATGCACCTCTGATTGGCTGATTAATGAATGCATTCTCATGTAACTCAAGTGAGTACAAATTGTAAATAGCATGCGCATGCTTTCAAATTTTGTCTGTCTTGTCTTTCTGTGATGTTTTTCTTGTACATTATCAACAAGAGATAACAATTTCCCTTGCAATTTTGTGTAATAAGCACTAGTAAATTTTTCAAAGACTACAAATTGCACTTGTCCTACCAGCTCATGCAATTTTGTTGTCTTTGTGCTTAATAACAGCAAATTGCACTTGGAATCATGTTATTACCAATAAAAAACAGCTGTTAAACAAGCAGCAAGGAACCAAAACAAAGAAAATTAATTAATTATCATAATTTAAACTTTATAAATGATGCAGGAAACAACACAACAAATAACAGGCTACACAGATGTAACACATACAACAGTTCAAGGTAAATTGTGTAGGTCAGTATATGTCAACAAAACTATCTGTCTAACCTGTAAAATACTATCACAATTGTAAAATCATCTCACTATTTTTTGCACATAGTCAGCTTGTTCCTGTTCTTTCATTTTCTGGGCATCCTCCAAATGTGTTTTAAGTCCTACAGACATGATGAAGTTTAGTCAACTTAGAAAGTTCAAGAGAAGTTTTTTCATAACAAAAGCCTAAGAATTTAGACCCGCAAATGACGAAAAAAGTTACGAGTTTTACTGAAATTCACTTACTTGGATCATTTTTCATTTCAAGGGAAGTTGTGTGTGTCTGATAGATACCAACAAATGTCTTGCCTGCAAAGGAATCAATTCGAATTTCCATTACCCAACATCAGGTCGAAGTTTAACCCACTTACAAGAAGTGATTAACATGTAATTTCCCCCTATAATATCCATAAAATCATCCTATAAACACTTTATGAGAATACTCAAACTTATCACGTGAAAGTGATCTTGATCCAACACCAAATTCTCCTAACTAATTTACAGGGAACTGGAGAGAATTAACAATAAGATCTTATGAGTTCATGGGTTAAGTCAATAAAGCATATTTGAACAACACATCGACGCAAAACCAAGGGAAGCATCCCAAAAAACATACAAAGTCAGTCAGTGAATGCGCGTAAAAAATTTGCCATAACAATACATTTTCAGTTGTTGATTGAGAAAAACACGAATACGATACGAACTCATAACTATAAAAAATTGTTGCTCAGGTGAAAAACTTCTAAAAAGGTCAGAAAAGATTAGAAATGCAGGTTATTTGTAAACAAAAGTTGTTGGAACTATACAAATTTGTATAGTTCCAACAGTGCCTTGTCCTTCAGCACTTAAGTCAAACACTCACTTGGCAAATGAACGCCATCGTCTCGATTGCAAGCGTTTATTTCCCATGCTTCTAGAAAGCGGCGGGGCCGCCAATTTGGAGTTGAGCGTAATACACGATCTTTTACGAGAGGTAAGCTGCTTAGTTCCAAAACAGATCTTTAAAAACAGTGTTTTAACGAACCTTCTCCAACTTGAGGTGCTGTTTTTAGACGGTGGTTTATTCCACTGATGACTAATGTAGACTTCTGTTCCGGAAGAGGGTTTTTACACTTCTAGAAAGCCTTTGCCTTCTCGATAGTTTCTGCAGAACTTCCTGAAAAAGACACTCTATAGCCACGTCCACCATGATGTTTTTGTTTTCGTTTCCAGGGATGCACGGTAACAAATTTTACCTTGCACAGACCACCCACACTGTTTATGCACAGCTTCCCTTACATCTTTGATTTCTTATGTCCAGTGTTATGAGTCACTTCACTTACTTAGCATATTGGAAAAAGAGACTTTGCAATTAGAAATTCGATCTTGGATGTTTTTCTGGTTTTATTTAAAATTACTCCAGTTTGTCAACCTATCATCCAGTTTACAACTTTCCAAACCCATGCAAGATTCACAGATTGCATGAAAAACTTGTTTTAACAAACAAAAATGAGGTAAAAGTAGGTCCCGTCACCTCTTCTCCTTGAGATTTGTCAATTGCATGGAAGGAAAAAGGCAACATTCACCAGAAGTCAATTTTCTAACAGTGTGCCAGATCATTCCATCATTTCTTCATCAACCCTGCAGCCTTAAGAGAGGTTGGCAGTAATTTTCGAGAATCCGGCGACAGAAGCAAAAATTCAACTTTTTTTTTATTTGCTCAAAAAGTCCCTTTTGGTGAGTCGTTTTCAAAAATAATATTCAAAAGTTCAAGCGAGTTTTTATTTTGGAAAAAAATACGAAAGTTCGAAATCGGCCAAAACGTACCTAATTTGCATAATTTCTATTGGGCTTTCAGTGCATTTTCACAACGCTCGCACAAGACAACGAAAAATTATCTTGGATTCATTTTTTCATAAGTTATTTTTCATCCCTTGGAGTAGCTTTGCAACTATATTTCATCTCCAACTGAACTTTCTTTCGTTTGTAACCACCCGCGTAAAGTACCCAATATTTTCTATTCCGTTTGTACGCTGAATTTTGCTATATTTCAGACGACCATAACATCGAGGGCATACAAATGTACATAAAATAAAGTGGCTCTTTTCAACAAGAAATTCTTCATGTTTATCATGTAAAAATATTATTTTTGGCCCGTGAAAAGCGAGCGCGCCAGACCAAAATATATAGCGTGCAGTTTCACGGAGTTAGGCCATTTTCCTTGCTGTACTCCTACTGCAAATCGCACGCTATTGGGACAAAAGTCGACGTGTTTGGTCTCTACTTCAGTTTTGATTCATTTAAATATATCGATTTTAACTTAAAAGTTAACCTACCTTTATTGTTAAGTGAACAAACCACCGTTTTAGGTAAAGTTTTTGAGTTGACTTTTCTCGAGTGCTAAATAAACAAATCGCTGTTTACAAAGATACCACCTCTGTCGACGTGTTTTTAGCTGAAATTGGCCCGTCGCATATATTGTTCTTTAATTTACAATCTATCCCACTGGCATAAATTTAAAGTAAATTAAATGTAACTATAAATGTTGTTGTAAATACTTGAGCGTGAGCTAAATAAAATCTTCGCACACTTAAAATATTCGAAACATGTAGTTGTTGCATGAAAATACTCGCTTAATTGTGCATGAACCTTGGTGTTTTTCTCGGTTGCTTTTGTAGATTTCTATCACTGTCACTGTAAAACAGAATGTTTGTGTAGTCCACCTGTTTAGATACATTTTCAAATCAACTGTAGGTTGGAATTCTCTTGGTAAAAATTGTCGAAGAAATCCGAGAAAAATGGCATGTAGCACCGGGAAGTCTTGCTACATTCAATCTCACCGATTTCAACAAAACTTTGCCAGGTTAAAGGATCTACCCCAAAACTAAAAAAGACAAACTGGTTTCTGTTTTGGTTTTTTCCGGGGGGATATAGACCACCCCTCAGTATTTCTTGATCCTTAGTTAATGTCCACCTCAAGTATCAGTCAATTTGATTGACGGCTTGTCAATCAACAGAGGCAAATAAACGACTGAGTTTTTAGACTTTTCGATTCATCCAAATATTCGACAACTTTGAAAAGTGAGATGCAAAGATCTTTATTATTTTTTTTTAGCTTAATAGCAGCTGTACCCTCTCCTGCAGTCTTCGTCTAAATTTGCAAGGTCACTCCTTATTTTCTGCCTTGTTAGAGGCGGTTGCCTTACTAGTTTCCTCCCCTGTCCAGCTCATGTCAAGGAGATAATTCTTTGCTTTCTGAGAAAAGGTGGCTGGTTTTTGTGTTTTCCAACGAGCCCACGCAAAGTCCATTTAGCTAGTTAGGGATGTTTCGTCAGAAGTTTACCTGAGGTCCAACCTTAAACGTAACCACCCCCTTTAAAATGGCAAGCCGGTCTTCGTCCATTTTCTCTTGATCTTATCATAGGCGGATTTTTTTGTCAGCTTCACTGTGTTTGCCTTTGTTAGGGTGCTTTTGGATGGTAGCCAATGACTGAAACGTCTTGATACATCCTTCCTCTTAGCAAGAATATCTCGCTTTCTTGTTCTGTCTGTGACGGATTGGATATATTTCTCGCGATGACCCGCGTTCAGGGATCCGTGCACGTTGTGATAACCACCCACTTCTACGATTAGTTTGTTGAAAGTTTCTAATGCGATCGATGAGCCTAGTGAGACCCTGAGGTGCTCCAAACTGTGCCAGTTGGTCTGCGCTATAAACTTGTCGCAGTTCTTGAGTCAGAGGGAGGGTCGCCCACCTCTATTTATGTGAGCGTCTCTACAGTACCGGCGTATCCCTAGCAATCATATGATATAAAGTTCATTTCAGTCACAAATCATTAGTTAGTTAAACTGAAGTTCAGATAAGCGCTCTTCTTGCCCTTCTTCCTTATTCATTGCTGACTCTAAGATAGCAGTTACAGTACGCGTTCTATTAGGTTTTTACAGTCACCTTGCCACCAGGAAGACTCGCCACCAGCTTTGATTTCTTCTGCCATCTTCAGATTCACCTCTCTCTCAACTTTACTTCTCCGATTTTTATGACGAGGATACTGGCATTTACAAACCCGAAGGTCTGAATCTCATACCAAGTTGTGCACGATATTTGAGGCATATCGTGAAATCGCGGCCTTTGTAATCTCCAAATAAGCCAATACGCGCTAGAATAAGCTTCTTCTCAAACGAAACGCATGTTTGGGATACATTGACGTCTCTCAGATGTTTTTGTTTTTGTTTTTGTTTTTGTTTATGCTGCACACCCACGAGTTTAGAGGTGTGAGCTGTTGCCGTCCCTGGCCAGCGCGAGAATTGAGAGCTTTTTAGACACTCGATTTCTTATATGGCATCACTATGAAGACGTAATACAACTGATACACCTACACTACAAAGGATTGACAATTTACTGGGAAAAATAAAATATTATAAAACAGGTCATAAATTGACCAGTGAATAAAATATTTTGAAATATCGTCCGGAATTTGCCTTTTATTGCGTGCAAATCAAGGGTAGACAAAGTTTATAAAACATTTGACAAGAATTTCATGGGGTTCACCTCGATAATTTTCGTCGGCCAAAGTCAAGACGCACCAAGCTAAGTGACATCGCCCTCCAGTAAAATAATTTTCCAAAGAATAAATGTGGCGAGCGTGGGGAAACGCACATTTTTTTCACTATTGTGATCAAAGCCCAATGATGTGCCTAAATTGGTACTTACGGTATCAAATCATTGATTATGACAGGGTGAGCTTAATTTTTCTGTCGAACTCACTGCACGAACTGACAAAGTAAAAACTTGTATTTATCTCCCACGCATTTTGTCTCACAATAGTAGACTTCATCAAGGAGTTTTACAAGTAGGGTAAATAAGCTTGCTCATATACAAATAGTAAATAAGTTGTCTCTTTACTATTGAAGCCAGTGGATATAATTCGCCAGGTGCACCTACGGTGTTATACATACGTGACATTTTTCGGACGTTACATGTACGAGTACGTAATCTGCTTGAGGGTCGCATATTTAGTGTAAATATCTGACCCCTCGACGTCACGTAACGTCTCTAGTTTACAGAGGTCTTAGAAAGCTTCATGCGCGTAGAAGGCTACAAGCGAATTTCTCGGGTGTATTTGCTTTTGATTTCTCAACTGATTTTGTCGCAAACAGCTTTTGGGAGTCACGAAACATAAAAAAGTTATCGGGACCCAGTTTCATGTACTTATGGAAGTAAATGGCAGATAAAAACATATTCTCTTGAGAAAAAAAAGTGATAAATAACAGGGGTTCTTTGAAACAAATAGTGATAGAAAAGGTTTCAGTTCTGGTCAATATTGACTTTTTCATAGCCTACTTCCAAATCTGAGGGAACGTGCCCAGGGAATAAAAAAAAACATACATGTGTGATAATGCAAGGAGGAGAATAAAAATACAAATAAAGAAAAAGGAGAAAACATAGAAACCCGTGTTGCAGCGCGCAGATATCTTTTGAGCCAGACCTACACACTTATGCCCGACACCACGCAAAGAAACTCGAAAGAGTGCTGTAAATAAACTTGCTCGCACGTGCACGCAGGAAAGGCCATGACAATCAGCGAAAAAACAGGCAAATAAGATGACAGAAGGATAAAAAACTTTCTGGAGGTGTCTTCTTACAAAAAAGAAATATTTATTTTTTGGTGAATATTTTTGTCCGACATACTTTTCCTATGTCGAAAAGTAGTATCAAAACAAAGACAGTTTTAACAATGACCGATATGACAGAATCTACTGAGCTTCAAGCTTTTTAAAGACAAAAGGATGGTTATAAAGTTACTGTAAACATTTCCTTGTGTATTTGTGTAGTTCTATCTTAAGACGAACTCAAATTCCGGCAAAATTTACTTGATAGGGTCTGTGAAATATTCATGGTGCGCCGACTTGTAGCCACCGTTAACTGGCATAAATCACTACAATTTGCAAAAAAATCTAACATAACACTCTTACCTTGTTTATTTAAGATTTTATTAGCTGTTTCGATGATCACGTTAATTATGCTCTACCACATTCTAGCCAGATTTGAGTTCCAGTTTATATATCTTCTCTATCTTATTGTATAAGTTGCGTGACAAGCGTGACACAGAAATTCAAACATGAATCAACCTCCGAAATACCAAGAGATGGGTTTTTTTTCCTCTTCGTGGTTCCAATAGCAGATGTAGGGTGCCAAAAGAAATGTC